CCATTACATCTTGGTCTGATAATGTGGCAAGAGATATGGAAACACTCACGAAAGAAAAAGGTATATAAATAAGATATTGATTTTTCGTTTAAAATCTAGTAGTGTTCTCGTTTTTTCTAGGTGTTAATTCATTTAAAGTATTTATGGCTTATAATGGTGTGTTTATGTTACATGATAGTGAAATATATCAAGTATTTACAAAATGTCGAGAATTAGGAGGAATAGCCATGGTACATGCTGAAAATGGCGAGATAATCACAGAAGTAAATAGAATCTCAGAAATGTAATGTGTCAACGATTCATTGTTGTATGATATCTTCTATTTCAGTTAGAGAAAGAAGTAGCCAAACTTGGAATTACGGGACCAGAAGGTCATTTGTTGAGTAGACCAGAAGAAGTATGTTAATTATGTAATTACAAAGCATAACAATTTATGTCTTAAATCGTTTTTCTTTCAAAATGAATAGCTTGAAGCCGAAGCCACCAATAGAGCAATTACTATTGCCGAACAGTCACGGTATGTTTTCCTAATTCTTGAAAAATACTTAGACACTGAGGAAAGAAAGAAGTCGAAGCGTACAACACAACTGCATTTATTTGAACAATTCCAATTTTTTTAGATGCCCATTGTATGTTGTTCATGTAATGAGTAAATCAGCTGCCGTTAAAGTTTGTGAAGCAAGAAGAAGAGGTAGAAGAGATCTATTTATTTATAAACACTTTTTATTGACACACTTGTTTTCTAGGTCTTGTGGTTTTTGGAGAACCAATAGCGGGTAATGTGTGATATTTTAGTCGATTATACAAAATCACGAATATATGTACTTTTTTAGCTAGTCTTGGTGCCGATGGTTCTCATTATTTTAATAAATGTTGGAGGCATGCAGCTGCACATGTAATGTCACCACCATTGAGACCAGATACAACAACAACATCTTACTTAATGGATCTTCTAGCAAAGTGAGTGACAGAGAGCTGTTATAATTGCATGACGTTTTTGTTCTTTATTTATCTCTATAGTGGTTCATTATCGGCAACTGGTACCGATCATTGTACATTCAATGCAAATCAAAAAGCATTAGGGAAAGACGATTTTCGTAAAATTCCTAATGGTGTTAATGGTGTTGAAGATCGTCTATCTGTTATCTGGACGAAAGGAGTTAATACAGGAAAATTAGATGAAAATCAATTTGTGGCTGTTACAAGTTCAAATGCTGCGAAAATATTTAATATTTATCCTAAAAAGGTATGTGAACTCAACGTATGTAGTTATATGTTAACGTTTTCTGTCAACTCGATTGCTATTTTTAAGAGTAAACGAAACTTATATTTTAATATTTTATGTTTCCCTCGTTATTCTTGAAAGAATTTGTCATACGTACTTAGGGTCATATTGGTATTGGATCCGATGGTGATATCATTTTGTGGGATTCTCAAGCAATAAAAACAATTTCCGCTACAACTCATCATCAAGCATGCGATTTTAATATATTTGAAGGTTTACAATGTCAAGGATTGCCTGTAGTGACAATTGTTAACGGAAAAATTGCTTTTGAAAATGGACAGGTAATATTGTTAAATACTCGTTTATACTGAAGGGGTAAACATTTACTTTTATTGTCATTGTAGCTCAATGTAACACAAGGTACAGGAAAATATCTGGAAACACAACCACATGGCGAATATGTTTATCAAAAACTGAAAAAACGCGACGAATTAAGAGAAGAGGTAATTTATAATACAAAAATTAGTTGAATCTTTGTAAAAATCTGCAACAAATAGAGATAATAAAGCCAAGTCATTGAGGAACCGGCTATTAAGCGACAATCTGACGCTATTGTATATTTAACATAATACGAATTGATGCTTTATTTTTCGTTCTATGAGATTACAACAGACGATTTTTTTGTTCATATTTATTTTAGTTAATAAAACAACAGAAAATTGAACGTGAACCATATACAGGCGAAGTGTTTAATGTCTCGACTACGAGCAATGGTAATGATTCTAAAACAAGTCCAAAACAGTCGACTGAACAACCAGCTGGAATAGGATTTCATAATCGTCCACCAACAAGTGAGAAAATAGAAAAGAGCAAACGATTCTATCTAATCTGTATTTCTCTCTTTCAGAAGCTGGTAGCAGAAATTTATTTGATTCAAGTTTTTCACTCTCAGGTTAGACAATATTATTGTGAACAGAAAGCTTTGTAGCCAGATGTCATCCTTGCCAATGTATTGAACTTGATTCGTTTGTTTTTCTAGGAGATCAGTGGGATGATAATCAACCACGTACACAAACACGCGTCAGACAACCACCAGGTAATAGAATCATTAAATAAAAAGAATAGTTATTTTTAGTCAAGTGATGGGGTTCTTTATCTTTCAATGAGTTGAATGAAACATTTTTTTCCTCAAGTTATAGAAGTGCAACTGATTTTATTATTTTCATTTGTAGGTGGACAAACCAAAGGTTTATGGTAAAAAACGAATGAGAGAATAGTTTAGAACATTTTTAAATTTTATTTGCTGCTTTTTTTGAAATTAATTTTTGGTTTTTGATTTTATTATATGAGCATGTTCACATACGATGTAGTGTATAGATGAATCAGTTAGTTTTTTTGAAATCAAAATTTTTGCTATCTTTAAACGACTATAAGATGCAACACTAATATCTCTATCTGATTATGTATTTTTTAAACGAACCAAAAAATGCAGATATTTCTTCTTTTCATCATACAATTCTACGTTTTTGTTTTGTTTTTCTATTATGTTAATTCACATTCATTTTGCTTGCTTATTTGCATGTATTATGATATCATTTTTCTATGTGCTCGGTATTTTATTTTCACAATAGTGCATTCCGCTCACAGTATTCCACATGTTCTCATGAACAAATATTTCACCATAATATATGAGTTAAACCAAATTCGAGTTTGAAATACAAACAATTTTGAATTACTGTTTTTTTTCTGTTCGTTTCTATTTTTATTTATTTAATTTTAATTTCTATTAGTATTGCTTCTCTTCTTTTATACATACTAGATTTAGCGTATTCTATTCTTATGAGAATTAAATTCTTGTGAACTGTCGGATAAAAATCTGTATTTCTATAAAGTGATAACGTAAAACGAAAGAAAACTTCTGATAATGATTATTACGGACAGAATAAAACGTAAATTTTCAACTAAATCATCTTTTTAAAGGAAAACTAAAAATTTTATACAGAATTTTGAATTCTATTTTTTTCAAAAGTCACACAGTAAGAAGACAATTAAAACGAACGAATTTTCAATGTCTATAGGAATAGCTGAGTGAACGTTCGAAAAAACGTTAACTGAGTTAACGTTTAGTGAAAACTGTACAATTTTATAAAGAAGTTTAAACATGAGATTTTTTACTCAACAATTTTCTTCTTAACTCACCTTTAAATGGCTTTTTCCATTGAATGTGACTCTAAATTATGATTTTTCGATAATTTACTAACTGCTGCATGATATATAAAATATATTGTTAGCTAATTATGCATGTTTGACTATTGCTAATTCGTTTTTTTTCACTTCTTGCAGTCAAAAAGCATCTACTACTCGCTCTCTTCGTTTATAGGGATATTGAACCGAATGCTTCTTGAAGTGTTATCACATTAAAAACATCAAAATTGACAGTATTATGTGTGTATGTGTTGCTTGCTCTTTGTAGATGTACTTCTTATCTTTGACATAAAATGTATTTGTTGTTCATCACAGTATTTTTTTGTGTCTCACTTATATCATCATTCCATTTCTCAAGGACTAATTAGAGAGTATTTTGTTTTTCTTGTTTTTTTGTTTTTTTTTGTCAAATATCATATTTTGTGCAGCATTCTATAAACTCATATTTTTTTTCTTCTGTTGTCTTCTTTAGTGAACGATGAAACTATTTGTTTTCGTTTTCTGATTTTATATAGACTATTTTTGATGAACATTTTATTACTCATTCCATTTTGAACTGAAATTTTCCATGCTTACTCAGGGATTTTTTTTTGTAAATGTTTTCATGTTCGTTTTTCTTTTTTTCGTAGTAAACATTACTGTTGTATCTTTGTTTCGAGTTTTTTGAATGAACAGAAAAGGAGCCTATATTCTCTATACACTTATCTCAATGTAGACATTTTTTCTTATTGTATTTTCGTTGTTGACTGTTTTGCGTCTATATGTGTGTGTCACTTTTTTATTCGATTTGAAAATACACGATTTACGCAAAAAACAAAGTAACAGTTTATAATTTTGACCTCATAAAAGAGCGCTTTCGACTTGAACTTTTGATTTTATTCGTTTTCTCCATAATTATGATTTGCTTTTATAAATATTATTGTTTCTTTTCTTCGAAATAACTTTAGTTTCTAATCATGGTAAGTCATATAGTGTCCCAAAATCTCGGTCGAAAAAATAAAATGTCAATAGTTCTTTAACAGCTGAATCAATTTTCTTGATTTTTATTTTATTTGATAGCATATTCCTTAGTTAATTTTATTTCATATAAATTGATTTACAACAATTGTTCAAAATGATCATCATCAACTAAAATACATTATCCTTTTCAAAATATTAACGTGCCCCGTCGATGCTATAGTTTTATTTTCAAAAACAATGCCGCGTCGGTAAAACTCAATACTGCATCTCACATGCCGCATTGATTTATGTCGACGTCATGGTTTTCTTACAAAAAAAGTTTCGATGCTACATTCGAAATAAACTTTTGGAAACGGCTCATACAATCGGTTACGTGCACCGATGCCATTTTCTGATTTTCTAAAACAGTACCATATTGATAAAAATCAATGCCGTATTTGTTTTTGCCAGTACACTATGGCTATAACAGGCAATCTTTCCAAACCGTACTGCAGTATCTTGACACTTCTCCCATTAGATGGTAAATCCGAAGTAAAAAACTTCGAAAAATAGCATGTATCTTATGTAGTATAATCGATTGCAAAACAAAACGGTGACTGACAAAATCAATGACAAAAATCGCATTGAGGCGAACTCATGCTATCAAAAATTTTGGTCGTTAACAAATGTATAGGTTTTTTGAGAAAATAACTTAGTTTCTTATACTAAATTCCTATGGATTATGCTGGATGTTTGATGTATGCGAAAAAGGAATACAATAAGCAAGAATATATATATTTCTTTATGATATAAGCAAACATTGTCTATCGATGTTATTCTGTTACAGTCTGAAAATATAATTTGACTTTCGTATGACGATCTTGGTCTACGATAACAAATGGCCACTATAGATCGTTCGTAGATGCCATTTTCTCATAGGAATTGCTCTCATGAAATCGTAAAATCGCAAAATATAAAAGAATCACACTTCTCTCAACATCAGCAGTTTTTTAAAACAATATGTGTGAACTATTCGCACTTAGGCACGCATCAATACAATATATTGGATACTAATAATATTGACTCCCAATATTATTATATATTGGGAGCAATAATATTGGATTTTTTACAATATTATTGGGTAGAGATGGGACGAAAGACTACCGACATGTTTATTATTTATAAGAAATGAACATGTCTTTTTTGTAAGGGGGAAAAAACAACACTTCACTACACTTTTTTCACTACGGTAGTGGTGTCGTAGTGACTTTGTAGTGGTGACGTAATGGATGTGTAGTAGATGAGTAGTGGGCTCCAGTGGTTGTGTAGTGGGCTGCAGTGGTTATATAGTGGGCTGTAGCTAGCTGTAGTGGTTGTATGATGAGCTATAGTGGATGTGCGGCGGGCTGCAGTGGATGTGTAGTGCAGAGTAAAAAAATACGTGTTGCATGTCTTGCAGTAAAAATGAATGATGGCTATAATACTTCACGCTTTTTTAAAAGAAACGATTGAAGATGGAAAGTGATTGAAATAAAAAGAAAGTGACAGTGACGAGATTCGAAGTCGTGACTCCGGAGAGATCAGTGCCTTAAACTGGCGCCTTAGACCGCTCGGCCATACTGCCTGTCGTCTTTTAAGACAGAAAAGATTTAAAAATCAGCTGTAACAAAAACGTGAACGTATATATCTAAGAAAATCAAGGGGGAAAAAACAACACTTCACTATACTACACTACACTACACTTTGCACACTTTGGTTACATAGTGGGCTGTAGTTAGCTGTAGTGGATGTGCGGTGGGCGGGAGTGGATGTGTAATGCGCTGTAGTGGTTGTGTGGTGGGCGGTAGTGGATGTGTAGTGCGCTGTAGTGGTTGTATGGTGGGATGTAGTGAATGTGTAGTGGGCTGTAGTGGACAATCCCTTGTAGTGTAGTGTAGCGTTGTTTTTTCCCCTTTGCTTTTTTGTTTCCTCATTTCGTTCGACTTTTGGACTAAGAAAAAGATTTGTTTGTATGATAATTAATGAAGAAAAGAACATATTGTAGAGCAGTCTGTTCCTTTTTTCCAGTAAAAGAACATGTCACAATCCGTTTATATTTTCGTAATATGTATCGCAAGAAAGAATGAAGATAGTGGACGGAACGACATGTCGTTAAGGAAATTGTACTATGTGTTTCTTTCGTTTACAAAGGAAATACGTTAATTTTGTGCTAAATGTTCTTATTGTGAATATGTCGTTATTTATTTAGCTATTCTTAAAAATATATCGTTAAGGATGAAAGAAAAGAAGGAAAAAAAGAATTCATTTCGTATCACTAACGTTAGGACTTGCCTTTTCTTTCGTTATAATAGTTTTTATTTTCCTATCTTTTCTTTTCGTTTTGCTTGCTGTCAACATGTTTTTGATCGGAAAAAGTAGAATATCAAAAAGAAAAAGATATAAGATATGTTCTTTCGTTCTCTTATTACGCAACTTACATCTTCCGTTCCATCTCTATTATTGGATATTGGGTCGCTTGAGTTAAGCCTACTAGAATCGATTTTTTATAACATGGGCAAGGCTAAAAGATCCAGTGTATTGTGGAACCCAATATTATTGTACAATATCTTCGATAATGATTGGCATTGATGCATGTCTATTTGCAATAAGGTGCGAAAAAAATCGAGTATTAAAATATAAACGAATTCGATCGCCACTTTAAACTGTAACATCAGTCCAGCAGGTTAGAAATTGTAAACTATTCAAGGTAGTCGCGAACAAAGGCTAACAGTCCACGATTTTTTTTCAAAGTTAGCGTTCACTTTAGATAATATCATCAAACGAAGTCTGACTTTTTTCAACTTGGAAGTAACTTTGTTACAAAACTAAGAATTTCCAAGATTTGCACAATTTCTCTGTTTTTTTTGTTCATAGTTCGGAGCGCATGTGACAGAACGTATAGTGAGTTTGACAAGACACAAGTGTGCTTGTAAAATAATAATTTTTTACTTTTTCAGCTTATCTTATCGTAAATTCAATAAACTTTTGATTTAAACTATTTTTATTGAATTTGAAGAAAAAGACCTAATACCACCTTCATCTAAAGCGAACAAGCCATTACATAGGCGAAGATGG